TGAGCAGGCAGGGGTGAGGGACCCAGGGAGATGGGATGGAGCAGGGCAGGGGTGAGGGACCCAGGGAGATGGGATGGAGCAGGGCAGGGGTGAGGGACCCAGGGAGATGGGACGGAGCAGGGTGGGGAGACAGCGTCTGTGCACTGGGCTGGATGACAAGGAGACCGCTCCCCGCACAGGAAAACACGGCAGCCGGGGGGCCAGGGCCGGGTGAGACTGTGTGCAAAGGCCCCAGTCTCCATGTCCCCCCAGAACGGAGAAGCCAGTGCATGAAGGGTAACGAGGAGGAACAAGGCATCAAGAGGGTGGACGGACAGGCGGGGGTTGCATCAGCCGTGACCTTGCGAGGTAAGAGAGGGGACTTCATTCTGGCCACCGTGGGGGCCCCTGGGGGCCCATCCCACCAGGGCCTGGGTCTGGCCTGCAGGGACACACGGGTCTGCGGCTGTGACCAACCTGCTAAAGGGAAGTGACCTTACGAAACTGCGGGGAAGCACGCGGCTTGTGCAAGGGTGTTCCCGCCGTGTTGCTCACGGCAGAGAGGACGGGAAACAGCCCGGGCGTCCGGCCCCCGGGTCAGCAGCGCCGCTCCCGCACCTCGCGCCGCTGAAAACACCGCCAACCTAACAATACGGGGAGTCTGATCCTTTAGGTAAAAAACAAACTGAAAGTAAGGTGCTTGTGGACAGAAAAAAATCTGGAAGGAAACACACCAGAATGTTCATAGTGGTTGTTTCCGGGTGTGGGATTTTCCGTGGTAACTTCTTAAAATTATTGTCTTAAAGTCTCTTAAAATTAAGACATTAATTCCTTAAAATTAATTTAAAACCGTTTTTAAATGTTTATTTACTTTGAGAGCGCAAGCATGCACAAGCAGGGGAGGGGCAGAGCAAGGGCGGGGAGAGAGAATCCCCAGCGGACTCTGAGCTGTCAGCGCAGAGCCCAACACGGGGCTTGAACCCCGGAACCGTGAGATCATGACCTGAGCGGAATCCAAGAGTCGGATGCTTACCTGACTGAGCCACCCAGGCACCGTCGCAAAATTAATTTCTTAAAATTATTTTAAAATTAAAATTGTTTCTTGAAGTCTGATTTTATTTTAAGAAGAAGGAAAGGAAGGGAGGGAAAGAAAGCCAACGCACAGGCCCCTTGCAGAGCTGGGGGAGCCAGAGCTGGCCGGGGGGCCTCGGGGAGCCCTCCGCTGACTCCACACGCTCAGCCTTTGGGGCGGAGCGGTGACAGGGTGCCCTGGGAGGCGGCCAGCATCTGCGGCCTCAGGGGGTCACCACTCGCCCGGACCCCACACCTCCCTGGGCCCGCAGCCCTGCCCGGCTGCACGGCCCGACGATGCCACCGCGGTACTTAGGCGATCTCACCCCGCACGCCCCTCGCAGCCTCCCCACAAGATCTCTGAGGTCCTCGCCGCTCACAGAAAGGGAACCCAGGCTCCGAGAGATGACGCAATCGGCCCCAAAGTGAAACCCATCCCGGGTGCCACCAGGCTGTGGACCCGAGCACGTGAGAGCCTCTCCTAACCACCATCCTCAGCAATTAGGCTGCAGCCCTGCCTTCTCGGAGGGGGACGCTGGCCCACCCCAGGCCGCGGCGGGGGGCTCGGTGCCGGGGGCCCCTCGGAAAGGGGAGGTGCAGGCCCACGAGGAGCCGCGAACACAGGAGCCGGAGCTGCGGTGAAGGTCACTCGGGGAGGGACAGACGGGCACGTGGTCACGCGCACAGACCGGGAGAGACTGGGGGCTTCCCACCAGCTGGCAGCCCTGTCCGTGGACTCACGGGACCCGGCGTCAGAAGCACTGCAGGGAAGGACTCTCGGCCGCCCCTCTGGCTTTTAAGTGTGCGATTCCTTCTTATTATTCAGAAATATCATTTCCATGCGTGTGCACACACGTGCGATTAATAGGTGCACATGTGTGCGCGTGTATCCGTGGGTGTGTATTTTGTTTGTGCTGAGGGTTTGAACCCTGTTCTCCCCGAGTCTCACCCGCTTACAGATCTCTGAGGAGACTTCAGCAGAGAGCAGACCCTCTCTGCAGGACCGTGGCTAACCCACTTCGCTGAGCCTGTTCGCACACCTGTAAAGCAGGGTTGCGGAAAGCGCCGGTGCCTTAGGGACGCTGGGGAGAGTAAGAGCCTGTGCAGGCCCCGCGCCGGGCAGGAGCTCGGTGGCCCTGAGCTGCAAGCACCATCCTCCCTGCTTGGTTTGAACCGCATTCTCCCGTCAGGGAAGGGACAGCCTGCCTGGCACGCGGTGGGTGCACGCACAGCGATGAAGGCATCATCTGCACGAAGGCAAGGCTCCAGGAAAGCGTCTTTCATGAATATAAAAATACTCTTTAGGGAAGAGTTTCAGAACAATGCCCATAATACGATCTTTCACGCTGATTTTCACGCACGGTGTATGTACGGGGGGTGGGGGGGGGGAAGGCCTGAAAATCTACGAAGGAGCAATGAACAGGTTACCAGGGCACCTGTACAGAACTCTTAATTTCTACTCCCTAGACTTGTTATTTAAACAAGTATGTATTTCTTTTCTAATAAATACGTTTAAAGTTAGAAACAAGCGTACCTGGCTCGGAAGGCTCACCCGGCCCCTCCCGGCACCCACGCTCGGGGACCAGTCCTCAGTGGGGCGTGACCGGTGAGGAGCTTGGGTGCTGGGGTGGGTGGCCCAGCTTCAAGTCGTGGTTCTCGCTGGCTAACCTTGAACAAGCCACTTCACCTCTCTGTGCCTCCGCATACTTACTAATTTTCTATTATACGTATTAAAATAATATTTTGATACCCCAGCCTAAACCCAACATATTTTAAATATTTCCTCCTGTTCCTTCTTCCTGCATCTGCCAGAACCTTTAGGGTCCATGTGGCCTGAGGTGTGTGCTGTCCGCGCCCACGCAGAGGACACTGCCTGGCACACAGAAGCTGCTACATGAAGGGTCCACTCGGGGACGAAAGGCCACCCCCACACACGCCATCTAGGTGGGTTGTGTCTGTTAAAACCAAGTGACTAAGAACGTTATCTGTCCATGTTGGTCTATTTCCCAGTCTCTCCTTGTGACATCTGTCTTTTGAAAACCGGTCCTGGTCTAGGAAAAATTCCGGAATGGATATTCACCGAGATGTCCAGCTTCTCCCCGAGAATATGCGGGTAAACCCCAGTTCTAGTGTCCAAAGCTCCTCCCGACGCCTTTCCTTTGTGCTGCCAGCCTTCACGGACACATGTGTGGGACGGAAGACGCCTGTCCCCTTACAATGCCCCAGTTCAGCGTCCTCACCTTCCAAGACTTTCCGGAAATCCTCTTCCAGAAAAATAAAACCACCGCTAAGCCAGACCCAGGTCAGTCTAGAGCAGAACCTCCTTTTGGGGCCGTGCGCTAACTCTGCTCGGGCGGCTTTGGTCAGGTCGTAGGATTGGAGGCCTCCCTACGTTTGGAAGGAAGTTGGCTGTGAGCTGGTCCCAGAGTGACCGGCAACCGCAGCTCCCTGGGGACCCGCTGGGACGGCTCTGGGGCTCCGGCAGACGTCGGGGACGGAGCCGCCCTCCGTCACACTCTAGTCATCTGTGCCCCCTCTAGACGGTGAGTCCCACGGGGAGAGTCCCACGGGGCAGACAGTCCCACGCGGGCTGTGGTCCCCGCGGGGATGCAGGGCAGGCTCACCAAGCGTGTGGCCCCTGAGAGCTGAGCGCGCCCTGGGAAGACGGGCGTGGGGGTGACAGAGTGAGTTCCTGGGAGGTGCCCTCCCACTAATCCTGAAAGACAGTCCACGTAGGCGCTGCCGTGCGTGCGCACAAGCTTGGGCGGGGCCCTCGGGAAGAGAGGAAAGGACGGGTTTCCCGGGGCGGGGGTGGTCACGGTGAGCAGGAAGCCACTTTGGAGACCTGTCCCCTGCTCTCTTCAGACCTGTGGGGGCCGCACATGAAGCCCTGTGGCCGCCCTCGGGGGGTGGGGGGTGGTGGGGCACGTGGGCCGGGTCGCCATGCTCCTTAGCAAGACCGTGTCCTCTGCGGGGGGGACAGAGAGCCCAGCAGAGTGGTGTCCTGGGATTTCTTCCCGCCTGGCCAGGAAATTCCACCTAATCGGCTGCCTCATTTCCCTCCCATTAAAACCAATGGAATTTCCCTTCATTAGGCTTTTCCCAAACGAAGGCTTCCCACGCTGAAGCAGATGCCACGGCTGTCAGCTCTGGCGGTTAGGGGCTCGGGCAGGGTCACTGTGGGGCCCCCGGGGGGCTGGATGCAGCTCCACGCACAGCTGAGGCTCCCAAGCAGGCCAGGAGGCCGGGAGGCCGGCACAGGCACTGAGCTCCTTGGAGCCACGGAAGCCGAAGCTTCAAGGGTCCCAGCACCTTTTATGTTCTTGATTTTATTCTCCTTTTCCAAAGAAGGCACCCCTGGGCGCCTCGGGGGCTCAGTCAGTGAAGCATCCATCATGGCTCAGGCCATGATCTCACAGTCCGTGGGTTCGAGCCCCGCATCGGGCTCTGTGCTGACAGCTTGGAGCCTGGAGCTGCTTCGGATTCTGTGTCTCCCTCTCCCTCTGCCCCTCCCCTGCTTCTGCTCTGTGTCTCTCAAAGATAAACAAACATTAAAAAATTAAAAAAAAAAAAAGACGGGCTTCTCAAATATAAAATTTCAGCATTCCCCTCTGGTAATGGACTCAATTGCACCCTGCACCCCAATTCCTATGTTTCAGTCCCAATCCCCAACGACTCGGGGTGGCTGTGTTTGGAGACAGGGTCTTTAAAGGGATAATTAAGAGAAAAATGAGGTCACGAGGGTGGGGCCAGATCCAATCAGACCGGTGTCCTTAGGAGACATTAGGGCGCAGATTCGCGCAGAGGGAGGGCCGTGCGAGGACAGGCAGGGGCGGCCATCTCCCCACCCAGCAGAGGCCCCAGAAGGAAATCACCGCGATCTGGGACCTCCAGCCTCCTGAACTGTGAGGGTAGAAACGTCTGTGCTTTAAGCTCCCGGCAGCACTCACAACAAGTGTGCTGATAACTTGTTCCGAGTTAGGTTAGGTGACCCTGCCCTGAGCCCCTACGGGATCAGCACCCCGTCCCCCCCCACCCCCCCCTGGTGGTCTGGGAAAGGCTGGGCCTTGTGTGAGCTCACGGGCTTCTCAAGAGGCAACCCCAGGCCTGGGGCCCTGGGCTGTGAGGCCTGTGACTCGCTGCCATGGACAGCAGGACAGCAAGTGCCAGAACACAGCCGGCAGCGCGAAGTGGCGCTGGGACCCCTTCCGAAGAACACTCTGTAAAGGCATACCCAAAGCCTTTGACGTCTGCATAGTCTTTGATCTAGAAAGGTCACCTCTGGGGATTGAAGGAAACAAGGAAACAATCGTGGCATGTGCGCACATTCACCCGAAAGGATGCCCCTGGGATGGAAAAGCGTTTGACGTCCAACCGGGAAGGGAGGTGCAGAGCGCTCAGCGGATGCAATCGTGGGGCGTCCCCCGCAGTGCAACTGGGGGTGGATTCAGGAGCCGCCTCGATGATCCGCTGAGGGCTCGTCGCTCCCAGAAGGGCACTGGATTCACCCAGCAGGTGTGGGAGGCCAAGACCAGTTTTGTCTCCACGATTCCGGCGGGGGGAAACTGAGGCACAGGGGAGTGGGGTGCCGGGCACAGAGCTGGTGAGCAGCTGAGCCCGGTCTGACTCCAGACTCTGTGCTCTTCCTTCTGCGAGTAACTACACCCTCGCGTCGCTACAGAGAACCACCGCGTCCCCACGATGGGCCCCGGCTTGTTCCCCGGGGGACATGCACGCTCCCACACGCACGGAAAGGACCACGGGCGCACACGCAAGAAGCCCTGCAGCGGCTCACGGCTGCTTCCAAATTCTCATCAGAGAAAAAAGCTCTTACTTTTACAACAGAAAGGCAGAGAAAGGAACACGCTTATCCCGGGCATTCTGGCGGGAACGCCCTTGGCTGACCTTGGGTGTCAAGCGCAAGAGAACGCAGCCCTACCTTTCAGACTGAACTCCGTTCCTGAGCGAGCCCACGTAGGCCTTCTTTTTGTCCACGGGCATCACATCCACGTAACCCCCGCTCTCGTCCCGGAGGACTCCCGCGTGCACGGCCGTCTTACAGATGCTTGAAGTCTGAAAGCGCAGAAGAGCCGCGATCAGCATCCACGGTGGCCTGCTCCTGGGTGGCGCCCTAATGCCCTCAACCAGTGCTTGGTGGCCTGGCTGGGGGTAGGGGAGGGCGGTGACCGAGCTACCCCTAAGGAATAACCAGCGCCTCCTTGATTCCCCTGGGAGAGACCTGGCATCATCATGTGTCCGTTTGTACAACAAGTCTTTCCTGGGCACCTACTATGTGCTCGGCACTGTGCTCGATGCAGGGAAGTTCCGCAGGGAGCAAGATAAAGACTCTGCCTTCACGGAGTTGGGGGAGACGAACAGATAAACAGATACACAAAACAGCAATGCTGCCTATGGAGGAAATAAAGCCAGATCATGAGCTAAAATGGCTGGGCGGAAGGGCTCTTTTCAAAGTTAATCAGGGAAGATTGCACTTAGTGTGACATTTGAGTTCAGATTTGGATGGCCAAAAGGAGCCGGCCACGGCCTGGGAGCCGTGTGCAGAGCCGTGTGCTCTGGGCGGAGCAGCTTGTGCAAAGGCCCTGGGACAAGAGCAAACTCGTCCTGTCCAAGAAACAGAAAGAGGGCCAGGGAGGCTGGGATACAGAGCGTCAGGGGGAATGTGGCGGACAGGTGAGAGAGGTGAGCGGGGCCATCGGGGGCTGTGGGGACCACAGGGCGGGGTGAGGCTGATGCTGGGGACCAAGGGATCCACTGGCTTTCAAGCAAGGGCAAGGCGTGCTGTTTTCCAAAGTTACCAAGCAGTCCAGTCCCTGGTAATAAACCCTTGAGTTAAACTTTCATCAGGGTCTCGATTTACCAAGCAGAGGCATGGTCCTCAGGATGGCGTGTCTGACACTGATTAATCGACACTTCTCGAGCTGGACAGATGCATCCCGGGGTGGGCTGGGGGCCCTCACTCGCCCTCAGGGGCCGATTCAGAATGGCCCCCGACGGGGGCCAGGTGGTGTGAGGCACGCTCGAGGTTAAGGGCTCTGTAGGGGACACGCTCCTGCCACCTCTGTGACACAGTCATCCAGCCTGTGCTAAGATCCAACTCTGGCCTTGGCAGTGGGTGTCGACCTTCACTGTAGCTCACGGCCACCTGCAGCCGCCGCATGCGGGGACGGGAGCTGACCTCCCCATCCCCCCAGCACTCAGCTATGGGGAAGCCCGAGATCCGGCATCTTCGATGCCGGTCAGGTGGCCCTTGCGTGCGGCCGGGGCCGCCTACGCCTGTGCCCAGACCCGTTTGTGGGGCCTGCTGCCCCCTCACAGGCCGCGGGGCTAACAGGGGCACTGTGCTTACTATACCCCAGGCTCTTATCTCATTTACTCTTCCGACGAGACGGGGAACTACCACTATTCCCATTTTACAGGCAGGAAAGGGTGGGTTTGGGGAGACCCAAGAACTTTGCCAAGGCCACGCAGACAGCTAGTGGCTTAGTAGGGATTCCAACTGTGGCCTGGCTGAGCGCGAATGCCGTGTTTCTGGGGTCAGCAGAGTCCCGGCCTCCAAAGCCGCCCACGCCCCTGTCCCCAGAACCGGGACCACGTGGCCAAAGGACCCCACACATGTGATTAAGGGCCCTGTGCGGAGACGAGCCTGCAAGCCTGATGGCCCACGGTGATCACCAGCCTCCTACGAGAGGGGAAGCAGGAGGGACCGAGCCAGAGAGGCGCACCGGCAGAGGCCATACTGCTGGCTGTGCAGGGAGGGGGCGTCCCAAGCAGGGGCCGGGGCGGCCTCTAGAAAGTGGGGAAGGCAAGTGAAACGGGGGCTCCTGGGGCCTCCAGAAGGAACGAAATGCTGCTGACAGCTTGACCCTGGTGAGGCCCGTATCAGGCTTCTGACCCCCAGCCAGTAAGTGCGTGCGTGTTGCTTGAGGCCACGAAGATTTTAAGCCCGTGCGTGCTCATTATGGCGGCCGTAATAACCCATCCTGCTTCCCATCACCATCTGATAACAAAACTGTTCCACTGAGTAGGTCCCTTAAGTGTGAAGACTTCAAGTATTCAGAAGAGAGTCAACAGGAGGGCCCCGGGCCATCCGTGCGCACGCAGGGCAGGCTGATGGGGCCGCCCCTCGGTCGAGCTCGGCAACCTGCGAGCTTAAAGATAAAAACTCAAACCGATGCCTACAAAGTGGACTCCAGTCCTGCCCTTGCTCATGACCTAGTGACCTGTGGCCGTCACTGCGGGCTTAGCCTGCAGACTGTGTGTGTGTGTGTGTGTGTGCGCGCGTGTGCGCGCACGTTGAGGGTGGACCGGGGCAGGGAGCGGGGGTGGGGCCTCTGCTGCCCGTGTCCCAGCTGTGCAGACACGGCCAGGTGCGTGTCACCCAACAGGAGCGTAGGTCCGGGCTTTGCTGTGGCTCAGGGCCACCTGTGTGCACAGTACCTGGGTCCCAGCCACGGCCGAAACTGGCCGGCAGCTCCTCCGTGGAGAGTGGGGGAGGGGGGTGTTGGGGTGGGGTGGGGGGTGAAGACGAATCCCATATCATCCTACCTCACGTGAGGCGTCAGCACTGGTCATGTCCACAGACACAGCCCATGGGATGGAAAGTGTACCCTGCACTGCCCTTTGACCGGGACAAGGAATCCGCTGAGCAGGTTTGTAACCCCAGACATGAGTGGACGGATTACAAGGGGCTGTTTGAAAACCCCCCGATTTGAAATCGTGCGTGGAGCAGGTACTTAGTTCTGCTCCGGACCCTCGGGTCCCCTGCAGGCTGTGGGCTACGGCCCGTCCTTCACACCGGGCCCTTCCAGAGGGGCCGCTCGTTTTATGGAAGTCGCCGCCCAGCGGCAGAGGCCGCCCGCCTGTGCCCTGGGAAGCTGACAGCGAGGCGGAAAGGCGGGGAGCCCCAGAGCCGAGGCGAATGCTCGCCCTAAGGCCCGGAGAACAGGACTGTGTCTTTCTCGGTCGCTCGAGAAGCTGAAAGGCAGCTGCAATGGCTGCACGGACGCCTCTTTCCTCCTTCGATACAGAAGCTCAGCGAGGCGGGCTCCAGGGGACCCCTGTGGCCCAGAGTGTCACTCAGACCTCCGTGAGCCTCTCAGTCAAGCAAGAACTCCCCGATTCTCATGCCAACTGCGGGGACCCCCGAATCCGAGGGCAGCCCCCCAGCTGGCCACCCCGTCTGCACAAGGAAGCCTTTATAATTCTACCCCGCAGCCCCCGGAAAAAGGATCCCTAAGCGTCCCGTTCCCAGAAGGGTTTGTGCGCCGCGAGGGGGAGACACCAGTGCGTCTGCAGCCACCTCAGGGAGAGACGGGGGGCTCTCAAAACAGAGAGATCAGTTTAGAGCTCCTCCCTCCGGACGCACTGCCAGTGGCGGTGAGTGTGGCTGCAAACACGCGTACTGTCCTTACTGGCGGGCAGAGCGGGGCCCGGCCCCTGGTTCTCCGGGTGCTGCCCGCTCGGCCGACCGAGTTCCCAGACAGGGGGCCCCGGGGCCAGCTCTCAGCTACCGCACCAGCAGGGACCTGATCCGCGTCCTCCAGACCCAGACGCGGCCAAGAGGTGGGGCACGTTCGTTTGGTGCCATCTGTGACAGCCCTTTGCCTCCCATCCCCGGGCTTCTGGACACCAGCATCCAGACATTCTCTGCGATACCATCACGCCCTTGGCCGAGAGGATGAAAACCTCACACTGACGGCCGGATCCTTCTCGAGAGAGGCACAGCCCCGGCCCCTCCTCCGAACAACCTCTTCAAGCAACTGCCACATCAGGCAAAGGCGTGTCTTCCCCTTCCTCCCACATGCCGCCTCTCACGACCCAAGCTTCCATAGAGACACGGGTTGCCCCCTCTCTCTTCTCGGGGCCCGAGGCAACACGAACACCTACACGTTGATTAACATGTGGGGCATCCACCATTTGGGGCAGGCCCTGTTCTGTGTCTTCCGTACACAGAGATGGAGAAGTCTCTCGAATATCCTATGTGGGAGGGATTATTCTCTATTCACACCGGAGGAGAGTGAGGCTCTGGGAGCTTAAACGATTTGCCCAGCCTCCCCCTGCTGGCCGACGGCAGAGCCGGGACTGCCACGGGGAGCCAGCAGGCCACACACTATGCTTCATGGGATCATCGGAACCTAAAAGGGCTATCGGGGAGATGCTAGAAGCCCCGGGGTGGAACGTGGGCTCCCAAGAGGAAACGCTCAGTAGATGTCAGTTACTAAGACAAATGGCACGGGCACCAGCACCAGCATCAAAAATTCTCCAGGGGCTGTCGTCCCAGACCAGCATCATCAGCATCATCTGGGAACGTACTCGAAATGCAGATTCTCTGGCTCTACTCCAGACTCAGAGTCAGAAATGCTGGGGTGGGGCCCAGAAGTCTGTTTGCACTAGCCCTCCGGGGAATTGTGATGCGTGGCCCAGTGTGAGAACATAGCCAGCCACCGAGGGAGATGAGAAGAGATAAGAAACTGAGGTTCAGGGTGGGGGAAAGGCTTGCCCACCAGCTCACAACAGGGTCCTAAACTCGCACTTTAACAGGGACTTTGCTCTTTGGGTTCCGCCCGATGCCTCTCCTGCCTGCAGCTCACCAGAGTGAGGCGGGCAGGCAGGAGCGGCGGCACTATTCGGCCCTTCGACGATCTGGAGACTCCTCTCCCAAAATAAATCTCTTAGCTAAGCAGACATTTTCCAAAAAGGCATCATCATTTCCCAGAATACAGAGTGACCTAGAAACCGAGGCCAGAAAAGAACCTCTAAAACGGATGGAGCTTTCCTTCTCTCCCTATTCTGTCCCTCTCTCCTCCCCATCTCCCGTCCCTGTTCCTCTCTTTTCCCCCCTCCTTTCCTTCATTTACTGAACTGCTTAATATTTAAACATGGACTAACGTAGTATCTTCATTTATTTATTCCTTCGACAAACATTCATTGAACAATTATTCTGTGTCAAGCCCCGTTCAGAGCACTGTGGTTGTTCCAAAAGCTCAAAAATCTAGTGAACAGGGTAAAGACTCTATAGGGCTCTTCACTCACATGCCTGTTCACACCAGGGTAATTGTTGAGTGCAGATGCATTCAAGCAAGGCACAGTAGAGCAGGGAAAGGACAGAACCTAAAGCAAGACACATGGCATCTCATCTTGGCCTGTGTTAGCTGTGTGCTTTGGGGACAGGTTACACTAAGCCTCACTTTGCTTTCCTATAAGACAAAGACAACAATACCTAGCAATGGTGTTTTTAATGAACCCAAAACATAGTAAAAGATAGTTTTATATTACTGTTAATTTTCAACCAGTTCTCCTTCCAGTTCTAACCTTTCATAAAAACTTTATATGTTTAGCTGCTATGTTGTTTGGTGCGTACAGATTTGATCTCATGAATCTGATCTTCAGAAATTATACCTTTTGTGCCACTGCACAATGAATTGTGGTGTCCCCTTCAGTATGTTTTACCTTCAATTCCACTTTATCAGATAGCAATACTGCCACTCCTGCTTTGTCATTTCTCTGTATTTGGCTGGAATCACTGGGCCCTATCCCTTTATTTTTCAATCATTGTAAAATCAAAGTCTCGGTCTTTTAATAAAGCAGTCAAACGTTGACTGTAACAATTGATATACATTATTTTACTCCTTCATTAAACTTTTAAAACTCAATCTTGGCTGAATGGCTTTGAGAAGAAAAAGACTCATTTAAAGAGGAAAGAAAAACAAAGATAGGAAAAAAAGGGTTAGCTATGAAGTTTGGTTGGACTTTACAGGACTTCGTGACCTCACATTCACAGGAATCTGGAACAAATAAAGCGCATAGAGGCAAAAATGATGGTGGTAGGCGGGAGAGAACAATTAAAATAAAAACGGAAAAAGGTTGAGTAAAAATGTGAGCTGGGGATAAGCAATGCTGATCTAGTCATGAAATTTTAGATCTCGAAGATTCCTTGGACTAGAAAAATCCCAGCTGGCTCATTCTACAGAGAGGTAAGCAACTTGGCAAGAAGATCACACCGCCTGTTGGGCAAGGCTGTGGCCACATTTCCCTCTTTTGGGACACCGTGTCCCTCAACCCTGGGCCACTGCAAGGAACAGTCTACATTCTGGAGGATTCACTGAGAAAAGTCAGGCTAACGTTTCCTTGCTAAAGTTCGTCAGGAAATAGAGAAGATCAGACTCTGGTAGAAGAAGAGTGGTTATTAACAAGTAGTAAATTAGTGTTACTTGCATTTCCTTCGGTGTGTTTTCAGCTAAATGGGTAGGTAGCCAAGAAGAAATACTGTGAGTAGAGTGGACCAGTTTCCATTACTGCATCAGGAGAGCTGGAAAGGTTATTAAATATCTGGGAAGTGAAGTACGTGATACGGGAAAGCCTGCACATTAAAAAAGGCACCTCGTTGGGGAAGCAAGATTCAATTTACCAAACTGTGAAAACACGTGGATCAGAGGAGGTGTGCCTGCATCTGTATTCATTCATCAACATACACAAGGGAGGTACTAGTGTCGCTGTAAGCGGGGAAACACAGGCAGTGACTGCAGAAATTAGTGGTCTCAAGTCAGCCAGGGACACAGGAATAAGACCTCAGGTTTCGGGTACCCAGACCACGAAACATGGTTTCCGAGGTCCTAGCCCACTTTTGAGGGGTGGTCGCTGAAAACGCCCGCGTACTCACGTCTGCGTAGATGTTCGTTCCAAACACAGGAGCCCAGTAGGACGGTTCATCTTTGCAGTGTGCCCGACAGTGAACTCTGGAAAACAGGACACATTTGTGCGATGGTCATGGCCAGCAGAAAACACAAGTCCTTCCTTCTTTGAATTTCAGTATTTAACGACTCCGATGGGAAAGGGAATTACCATACAGTTGACTCTTTCAGGAAGAAAACAAAACCAACTACCTCTCCCACCCTAGGAGCGGTTAAGGTATTTTGCCCTCTTAAGCAGCGCAGATAGAAATTGAAAACTCTGTACAAAAGACAGGCACAAACAAGATGAAAGAATAAATCTGTCAGAGACGTGAATGTGGGATTGTAAGAGGCTGTACCTCCCGTTCTTGGGCGTTGGCCAATTCATTCTGTGGGCACATCACAGAGATTATAATCAATAGACCTCTTTAAAGGCCATTTCCCTCTAAGAGGGCGGAAAGGGTGGAGGGCCCTCACCTCAATGAGTCAGAGTATTACCTCGCCTCCGATAACCGCACTGATAACCTGAGGCGGAAGAGGTTAGATCAGCATGGTGTCAGTCACCACATCCCTGCTGTGGGCACAGAGGATTAGGAGAGCCCCCCAACCTGGAAATGGGTGGGCCCCGGGGGTGTGAGACATTCAGACCAGGGCAAAGCAAGAACCCCGCAGAAGAAAAGGGCTTTTTTTGTGCCTTTATCTCGAACAGTACACCAAGTTGCTGGCACGCAGAGACCGAGAAACCAAGATGGCGCCTGGAAGCCATCTGGCCCCAAGACAGGCAGGATTCCGGGAGAAGGGATTACGGAGTGAAAACAGCCCTGTGGGGGGAGGGGACAGGTGTGGACCCAGAGAGAGGAGAGATGTGGGAGATTTTAAGAAAGCAGCAAGAATCTGGGAAAGCAAATCCTTTCTGACTTTCTCTAGAATGGCAAGCCAGAAACCTGTTTTCTCTACTAAGTTTTTCTTTTCGTCCGTTTGTTTTTTCTGAAATAATCTCCTTCTGCTTCTCTTGAGTATTTGGGTTTATTCTTAAAATATTTAATAAAAGGTGGTTCGCCTCTGAACATGCAAAGGGGATCGGCCTGGTGGTGGAGGGCCGGCGGGGGCCGAGGGGGTGGGAGCAGCCCAGGGGAGGAGCGGGGGTCCCTGTCCAGGGTCTCCCGCTCACCAGCACCCTCCTGGGCCTCTTCCCTGCTCACCCCTTGGGGGGCTCCACATGCTAGGTTTAAGGTGAGTCTCTTGGAGAATCCGCAGGCCTCCAGGCCCCGGAGAAGGGTTCGTAGCGCCCTGGGGGCCTAACAAGTACTTGAGAAGCAAGTGTTACCAGGAGCCTTTTATTTCACGTCATGAAGCATCCTCCAAAAATCAGCCAGTTAAGGTGGGGGCAGTACACGTAAAACCTAACTGTGGTCCCTGCACAGAACAGAGCCGAGCGCGGGGACAGGTGGAAGGAAGCACCAGTCTCCAAAGCATCAGGCGGAGTGAAAGACGCCAGACACGAAAGCCACATACTGTGACGGTTCTGTGTACGGGAGATGCTAGAAAAGGCAAAATTACGGTGACAGAAAGCAGACCAGTGGTTGGCAGGGACGTGGGGGGGGGGGGCGGGGGAGGGAGAGGGGCGACCCCGAGGGAACTTTCTGGCGTGATGAAAACGTCCCCTGCCTTGATTGCGGTGGTGACCGCGTGACTGGGTACATTTGTCAAGACCCATCGAACTGTGCGCTTGCGACGGGCGGATCTGACGGTGCGCAAACCACGCCTCCGAAAAGCTGGGGTAGAAGGGGCTGGTTCTAAAATGATCCATAGGAAAGGCCACAGATCAAGTCCGAGAATCAAGGAGCTGACTTAAAGGGGAGACGTGGCACCACGAAGGTCCACTAATGGTTCCGCCCTACTGGGCCGCTCCGGGAGGCCCCGATCTCGGGGGTCTGGGCGGGGCCTTCGGATGCCCCTCAGGCCATCCCACCCCGCAGCCAGGGCTGACAACCCGCGGTCTCCAGGAGGGGCCACATCTAGAACCTGGTGGCGCCTCCGCCCCCGACGCAGCAGGAGGCGTCCTTCTCCCTGCCCCTGCGTTTACGAAACCAGACACGAGAGTCTTACCTTGGGCAGTGGGTCCCCGGCTTCTCGAAGGGGCAGAGCTGAGCAACGGTGGTGTAGCAGTCCAAGTCCTGCACTGGGGACAGGGACACGATGGCAAACGGTCAGGTCGCCGGCGAGCCCGGGGCTCCGGCTACCAGCCTAGGAAACGGACGCCGGACAACCAGGTCCTAGAGGCTCCGGGGGCTTCGAGCACGTGGGAGGAGAAGCCCGCAGGCGCCCCAGCAGGGCTGGGTCTCACCTCGGGGCCCTCGAGGGATGAGAGGCCCCATGGCCTGAACGGGTCTGCATAGGACCGATGGCACCTTTCGTTTGCTTTCCGGGGTTAAAGCTGTTCACCTGCCTCATCTGTCTGCACAGAAGGTATTATTCTAATTATACAGAGGAGGAAACAGAGGGGGGGAGGCCGGGTTTCTGATTCCCAGGCTAGAGCTCTTCAAGGTCACATGTTGCGTTTAAACAACAGAGGTAACAAGGGCTCTAATACCGGCCACCTGTGCTCTGACAGCGGGTCTTCAGCTAGTCTGGGGCTCGGCAAACTCTTCCTAAAGGGCCAGAGGGCAAATACGTCTGGCTTCAGGGGCCCCACGGACGGACGATGCTGTAACCACTCAACTCTGCCCTTGCGGTGGAAACCAGTTACAGAGGACATGTAAATGATGGGCGTGGCTGTGTGCCAATAAAACTTTATTTACCAAGATAGAGGGCAGGCGGGATTTGCCCCTGGGGGTGGCAGTTCACCAGCCCGTGGTCCAGCCTATCATTTGGGTGGGTTGGGGATCCATGAAGGAATCCAGCAGAGGGGATTGGTTCAAGTACACCAGGGAACCTTAGTATCATGGAATGCAGGGAGGTCATTAAAATTGGGTTTAGAACACCACTTTAAGACACAGAAGCATCTTCCTGATACACTATTATTTGGAAGAAAAAAAAAATCAGGTCACCAAACAATTCCATTTCAATTTTTGAAAGCGTATCAATGTATTCCCAGGGCATATACTCTTCATCAGAGGGAAAACACCTACAAAGCTATCCACCAAAACGTGCACAAGATGATCTCTAAGTGGCGGAATCTGGATCAAGTTCTTTTTTAAATGCTTCTTTGTATTTTAAATTTATTAAATTATCTGCAATAAATAGGCATTATTTTTATAATAAGGGAAAAACAAAGACATCTAGCAAGATATTCTTGCATCCAGGGCCAGTGACAGGAACAGCTTTCCCAAAGGAAGGGGCTCTGGGGCCAGTTTCCCGAGGAAGGGGCCGGGCAGGGGGGCCCCCCCGGGCATCTCTGCTGGCCAGAGACCGTCTCAGCCAAGTGCTCAATCCACACAACTAGCACCCACAGCCCCACTTCTGCCCATGGGATGGCATCCAGGGGTACGCCCTCCCTCGCCAAGTGAATGCACCCCAGGCCAGAGAGGGCACGTGTGTGCACGAGCTTCCGCCGGGTTTCCCTGTCCTTCACGGCAGACATGACTTATCTATCAAGGCCTGTTTCCCGAGGGGCCCAGGAGGCGGCTTCAGAATCCTCAACACTCCACCCACCACCACTGACCAACAGAGCCGGCTCTCCCTCTGCAAGCTGCTAGCCGCTCCGGCCCCAGGCATTAGGATTTCTGGGACATTCAGCTGGGAACCCCAGGCCTCGGTTTCTGGTGTGGCAATTCAGGGCCGATGCCAGGTGCAGGCATGTTTAGAAACTAGTTACAGAATCGACGTTGTCAGGAAGTGCTTTAAAAATCCTTTATGATGCTGAGAACCCGCAGGGTTAAGAGGCAGAATTCACCTTAAGTCAACAGCTAAGGAGAACGAAATGTCCAGGGAAACCCAAGATAACCTGTGTATGACAGTCACGTGTTAAAAAAAAAAAAAAAAAAAAGACTGGCCAGCTTACCTTTTACTTTTGACACCATGAACGAGCTGGAAGGCTTGTACTTGCTGGAAGAGAAAACAGTAGGTAAATGCAAACAGAATTGTTTGTAGAAGTGCAGGGTTCCTCTTGTGTTTGTTTCATTGCAGCCACCTCAACTTTCTAATTTCCTACCAGTTTCCAATAAGCTTGAAAGCCCCAAGAACATTCTAGAACACGGTCAACCTACTTTGTGTCAGAAACCCCTCTGGCAGCCTGGTGTCCTTTTAAATAAGGACTTTTAAATGCAGCTCAGAAAGGAAATCCGTGATTAGTGGGATCATTCTCAAAGTATTAAAACGAATTTGCGGGGCGCCTGGGGGAATCAGTTGGTTGAGTCGACCTCAGCTCAGGTCCTGATCTCAGGGTTTGTGAGTTCAAGCCCTGCACCCGGCTCCCCGCTGTCAGCCCGGAGCTGCTTCGGATCCTCGGTACCCCACTCCCGGTCTCTCTGCCCCTCCTCCCCACGCCCGCTCTCGAAATGAACAAACATTAGAAACATGAATCTGCATTTGAGTAACAGCTCTGCTCCCTTGTGAATGCATTCAAAACAGAATCGAGGGGCGGGTCTTCAAACCACGGTCTTTTCAAGGTAATGACAGCAGACATGGTTCCCAGACCCCTCCGGCCACCAGGTTTCCCCCGTGAGTCGCTGAGGCTGCTACCGCTACCCCGTTTGGGACAAACGCTTTGCCAGCTGGAAACACTACATTTCAATGAGAGGCTGGAGAAAAGAAGGCTCAGCTTTGCTTTGTGTCGAGGTCTGAAACTCCCCGAGATGTGAAGAATCTCGCTCCAGACGCAAAGCTGGCCGCCGGCAGGACCCCGTCGTGGCTCGGGCTCCGGGACAGGCGTGCAGGCCCCGCAGGGCCTGACCCTGCCCAGCCCACAGCGCCCTCGGTGCCCGCGCTGAGCCCCTGCGGCGGGTCACCGGGCCTCGAGAGCGCATTCTCTGCTTCCGTTTGGACATCCTTGCTCGGTGCTTACACAGCCCCGCGTCCCCGGCCGAGACGAGGAGGGGATGTTGCAAAATCTCCTGAAGAACCAGACCTTTCAAAGGGGGATGACTCATGCGGGTTTTGAAATGTTCTGCGTGGAACTCCCCGGAACACACAGGGCGCTCTGGTCGCTGTGACCCTCGCCGCAGGCCCTGGGACGGGCACTGACGGGGGGAGGTGGGGAGCTGGGGCAGGGGCCCCCCCATGTCCCTGCCGGGCCAGGCACTGGGTCCTCGGTGGGGGGAGGGGACTCCGGGGCAGGGGAGCCGTTCCAGGGGCTCTGGGCAACACGCCTTTCCGAGCGACTCTTGGCGGGGGGCGGGGGGTGCATTATTTAAGAAATTGGCTTCCTGCTGCCCACCTCTGTGGACCAGCTGGGTCCTAGGATTGGCCCCCTTTCCCCAACGAGGCTGCCACCCAGAAGGGATGACAAAACGGGCCCAAAGTCGCAGAGCAGAGCTGAGGGGGGCGAGCCAAGTCTGTCTGGCCCCTGTTGGGGCTCTGTGCTCCCCAGTTACTCTGTGCCTCTGATTCTAGGGACAGTGCGATGTGGCCTCCCCGGAAAATCAGGCTGGGGAGGACAGTGCCCCACAGCCATCCACAGATCTTCCCCAAAAAACAGGATCTTGAAAAAAAACAACAACAAAGTAGGGGCGCCTGGGTGGCTCAGTCAGTTGGGCATCCGACTTTCGCTTAGGTCACGATCTCGCGGTTCGTGGGTTCGAGCCCCGCGTCGGGCTCTGTGCTGACTGCCAGCTCAGAGCCTGGAGCCTGTTTCAGATTCTGTGACTCCCTCTCTCTCTGACCCTCCCCTGCTCACGCTCTCTCTCTCACGCTCTCAGAAATAAATAAAACATTAAAAAAAAAAGTAAGTATTTTTTAAAAATGAAAAGCCTCATTCTCTAGGAAAACAAAACTGCTACCCAACCTATCAACTCCAGGATGTGAGGAAAAGCAAGAGTCGCAACTCAGCCAAATTAAACAATGAGACACACACCCAGAAAAACCCACGCGGGCGAGATGGCGAGCTGCCTACGGGGTGATTTGCGAGCTAAGGGTTCAAGTTCGTCATGATAGTTTTTTCCCCCGCTGCTTCCTATCGTTTGGTACTTTTCAAAATGTCGACAATACTTTCATAACCAGGGGGAAAAAAAAGCGCCCAGGAGCCCTGAGCCCAGAAGAATTACCTCAGAGACTCCACGCCATTCCTCTCAGACCTGACGAAGAAGGGGACCTTCCCGTTCCTGGTGACGTCCACCAGGCCACCTTTGCTGTCCAGGACCCCGTAGTGAATGGCGGCCCGGCATATGCTGGACGACTGGGGGGGCGGGAAGGGAGAGCGTAAGTGCATCGGGACTAAGCTCTGTCCAGGCTGCTTCGGGGTGCCCCGTGTTTGTCTTCCACCCACAAAAAGCCAAAGTATCAATCCAAAGCTCCCCCCACTTCTGCCCTCACCTCTCCCGAGAGCACCTCTTTGTTCCCGGGGCTGCTTATCCAGGAAAACCCATCCGAGGCGCTTTACGAACTAAGAACAGCGAGAAACGGCCCTTTCTCCCCACCCAGCGGAGCCTGTTAACGTCTAACACGGAGACTGACCTTCGCGAGGGGCCCCCCGGTTCCCCCAAAGTGGCCTTACTTGTCTGGGAGCCCAGAGACAGGCGCAGACCAGCTCTCGGACTGAGGGGGTGGCAGGAAAGCCTCCTCGTGCGAAAACCCGCAGTGTCCCGTACCCACGGGCGTCGGGAGCCCGCGGGCTACTTACGCTTTCGTAAAAGAGAGTCCCGAACACCTGCGCCTTGCTGTTCAGGCAGCCCGCCGGGCACTCGTACCTGACGGGGAGGAAAGCAAACCATTCTCACAGCGGAACGTGCTGACGGCATCCCACCAGGAATTTATTGGGGTTTTTCCTCCTTCAAAGGTTCAATTACTAACACCGGACAGAAGCAGGATCCGCTGTTTTCAAGAGAGTCACGACTGACCCAGGTGAAGGTCATAGTCACATAGACACCATTACAGATGCAATTGGACCTTCTTTTCACCTGTTTAAGATTCATGTTGGAGGCAGGGGCGCCTGGGCGGCTCAGTCGGTTAAGCGTCCGACTTCGGCTCGGGCCATGATCTCACAGTTCGTGGGTTCGATCCCCGCGTCAGGCTTTGTGCCGACAGCTCAGAGCCTGGAGCCTGTTTCAGATTCTGTCTCCCTCTCTCTGCCCCTCTCCCACTCGTGCGCTCTCTCGTGCTCTCTTTCTCAAAAATAAATGAACATTAAAAATTAAAGAAAAAAGAGATTCATGTTGAAGGCAGAGATCCCAATGGACAATTCACAGAATAAAAACCAGTGGCTTCAAAGGCACCAAAACAAAAATCCTCCGATATCAGTCATCAAAGAAGATGCAAATTGAAAGGACACGCCCCTTTCTAGGTGTCAGATTCCAAGGTGTTTTTTTTTAATAGGAGAAAATTCAGTGATGGCATTCATGCCCACGAAAATGCATAAATTCACCTTTCCAGCAAGCCTTATCAATTCATATCTTTCAATCCTTAAAGTTCCTGTAAGTGTCTAACCCAGGCCCGAAGTCGGGCCCACGTGCTCTTCCAAATGTTCGGCATCCACTGAAACCACAGGAGGAGGCTGGCGCCGTCGAAGGAAGGGCCAGACGCAGTTTTGCGTGGCCGTATGTTAGCGTATGATGCGTCCGCGAGAAATGAGGGTTTTGGAAAACATCTGACTTTGGAACGTCTTAAAACGACAGCGCACGGCGTGCATCAGCTGCGTAAGTGTCCCCAGTGCACGGAGGGAAGACGGAAGGGGAGCCACGTCAAGTCCCTACGGCTATCACGGAAATGCTGGGATCTCTCGTTCTTTCTCTAAACTCGGGTGGCGATGCTGGCGTTTTCCTGAGTTACTTACAATGCACAAGAATACTTTTTGAAGTCAGGGGGAAAAAAGAAGGCTCGGGAAATGCTATGATTGTAAAAGCAGCCAGTACAGAAAGCCGATGAGCCAGGGCACGGGCTGACTTCAGGAAGCCGACTGTGGACGCTCCTGCATTGCAGGTGGGGGAGTTGGAGTTCCTGCCGGGAGGCCTCTAGTGGCCTTCGTGTGGCTGGACCCCTGCCTTCTCCCTGCTCGCGAGGAGGAGGTCCCACCTACCCCGACTCTGGAACTTTCTGGATGCCATCTGACGGATATCCTCCAAACCCCGTCGTTTTTCCCCACTGACGACTCAGGCGTGATGCTCTCCTAACGAGCTCGCGGCACAGAAAGCCACGTCACCGCAAAGGGACAACTCGGTGTTCTGGTGACCCAGGAGCCACGCAAACGTGCCCTGACACCGGGCGCGAGTCGCTCCGCGGCCCATTGTTGCCGCGTTTGCTCATCTGCCCACAAACTGGCTGCCTTCACTTCTTCGGTACCTGCTGGCCCTCGGGCGACCCCACCCTGGGACGCTCTGCTGAAGTCCCCGCGATGTGCCCTCCCAGCAACCCGAATTCCAAGTCCCCAGGGTACAAAGGAGGACATGCTACCTTTGCTTTGTGGCGCGTGCGCCAAGTAGCACGACTCGCCTTTAGATGAATGGACACCAGGACCCACAGGGGATGGGCCTCGCGGCTCTACCGCGGACACGGGTTTATGAGCACGAGCCCGGTGTCCCTCATGTGGCCGCGGCACGCGGGGGCCGTGCGCTGCCCGATAGAGCAGCCTAGCGGCCGCCTCGCCCAAACCAAAGCCGGCCTCTTGGCAAACGCTCTCCGGCCTCCGGATGGACGACTCTAGGCGACTCCTTCCGCCGGATGGAGTCACCCCACTGGGGGGCCATACTGGCACCTCCTCCTCCAGGGAGGAGTCCAGTTACACCGCCGTCTATCTGGGCCCGTCCACGGCCCACGGTGCCGGCTCACGCTGTCCGCTCCCAGCCCCTCCCCCCCCGAGCCTTCGCCACACAGGACCCGGGCCACCCGGTGACCCCCTCTGCACAGCAGGCAGAATGGAGCCCCGGCCACGCAAGATCTCCGTGTCTACGGCACATCTACAGCCCGGCGTTCTCTCTGGACCGAGAGCCCAGGGCATCCGTGACTCAGGCCCGTCCTCCCCGCCGGAGATGAAACACTTTGCTGGAATATTCGTGCAGCTGAGAGGATCCCCAGAGCCTGGGCCAACTCCCTGGTCAAAGGCTATCAACTAGGACTGATTGTAGCCCTCAGGGAACACTGGGCCATTTCTGGAGCCACTTTGAGGCATCCCGACTGAGGTGGGGGTGCTCCGGGCGTCCGGCGGGCTGAGGCCAGAACACCCACCGCTCAGCGGCCTGCCGTGCAAAGAACGATCTGGCCCGAAATGTCAGGAACGCTGAGGTCAAGAAGCTCGGGCCTGGGCAATCAACGGTGGCCGTCGGAGGGAGCTGAGGCGCCATGGCCGGTCTAGCTCTGACAGGACAAGCCTGGCTGGCATCCGGCTCGACCCGGCACAACTGCTGTGCGCAAAGTGGAGAACATTCTCCCCTGAGTCTCTCCCCAGCTTGGCTCGGGTGGCCAGCACGGAGTGACCGTGACATGACCCACAGCCCGCGGCACATGCTTCGAAGGGCTGTAGGCGTCGGTGGCGAGGGAGGGGTGCGGCCAGGCCTCACCTGTTGCACGTGGATCCTTTGCACTTGTCTTTCATCTTGGTGTCACACCTGACAACTTGGGCTAGAGGAGAGATGCAGAAATACACATCACAGAAGCAGGAGCATCAGTGTGAGCGAAGAGACCCCCTCCCCCACTCCGAAGAACTTTCCGGAACATTCTGGAATCTGGGCCACAACCTGTCTAGGAGCACTGCCTGATGGCTGCAAGCTTCAGCTGTGAGCTTCGAATCCCAGACCTGCCCCTTAATAATAGCAGCGCCCTGGTATATGTCCCTTCCCCGTGTGGGGATCAGTTTCCGCAGATGGGGAGTGGGGATGGGTGCTGTTTCTGTGAGCATTAACTGAGAACGTGCATGGAGCTATGGAGGGGAGGCTGGGTACCAAGTGCCCTGAAGCCCCAGAAGGTTCTGGAGGGTGGGCCTTACGGGCCTTCTCCAGCCAAGACTACTTCTGTCAAGCTTCACTTTCTTGTTTGTCTTATAAGGACGCATCAGAAGCCTGGCGAGGGGTTACAGTTTGTCAAAAAGACTGATTATTGGGGCGCCTGGGGGCTCAGTTAGCTAAGCACCCGACTCTTGATTTCAGCTCAGGTCATGATCTCACGGTTTATGAGTCTGAGCCCCGTGTCAGGCTCTGTGCTGACAACGTGGAATCTGCTTGGGATTCTCTGTCTTTCCCTTTCTCTCTGGCCTTCTCCAGATCTCGCTTGCTCTCCTCCCCCCCCAACTTGTTCTCTCTCTTTCTCTCTCAAAAGTGGATAAACATTTAAAAATGCTGTTTCTTGATTTGTCTCATTTATTTAAAAAAAAATTTTTAATGTTTTATTTATCTCAGAGAGAAAGACAGCGTGAGCAGGGGAGGGTCAGAGAGAGAGGGAGACACAGAATCTGAAACAGGCTCCAGGCTCCGAGCTGTCAGCACAGAGCCCGACGCGGGGCTCGAACCCACGAACCGTGGGATCATGACCTGAGCCGAAGTCGGACGCTTCACCGACTGAGCCACCCAGGCGCCCCTCTCTTATTTAAAAAAAAAAAAAAAAAAGACATTTGTGTTTTAATTTTTAATTATTAGTTTCTTAAAGGAACCATTTTAACTTCTGGACAGACAAGCACGTCGGTGTATTTTCTGGTGAAAGAAAGCTACAGAGTGATGAAGGGGGCTGAAGTTCCTTCCGAGAAGACAGGGGCTGGGTGGGCAGGGCAGGGAGAGAGCAGATGAAAAAACGGCGGACGGTGGGGGGCTTCAGAGAAAGGTGAGCACGAGCTGGGCCCTGCTCAGGGTGAGCCGGGTTTTATGCGGTTTGAGGCTTGGGGGGAAACACGACCATGAGTGGACAGCCCAGGCCTGTGTGCCCGTGAGGCCCCCCCCGGAGCCCTGAAGCTTCAGGAAAGCTGCGGCACCGGGGAAATCGAACCCTGGGCTCCAGCCAGGGCAGGAGGGCCAGCTGAGGCAGACCTGAGAGCTGAGAGCATCCAGAGGGCAGGAGAGGGGAAAGCGTGACAATATTCTGCGTTTGGAGACTTCCAGGAGCCCGGGGGAGGGGGGGGGGGGAGATCAGCCGTGGGCGGCACTGCGGTGATGACCTCGGGGCGGACACTGGGTGGCCCCCGTTACTGCAAACGGCCCTCACGGCAACCCTGCATGGGCCTTATTGCCCCCATTTATGGATGAGCAAACCAAGTCTCAAAGGGCCCAGTGAGGGTCCGAGGCACCAGCCAGTAGGTGGCAAAGAAGGGCCGGAGCCACCGGAGCGGGGCCCGGACGGCTCGCCACCTCCAGGGGAGCAGTTTCAGCCCAGGCCCCCTTTGGAAGGACAGGGTCTAACCTTGAAACGCCTGCCTGGCGGGGATGGTCCCCAAGCGCCCCTCTCATAGCGCTTGCTTTTGAAATCGCTTAAAAATATCCTTTTTAGGGGCGCCTGGGTGGCTTAGTCGGTTAAGCGTCCGACTTTCACTTAGGTCATGATCTCACGGTTCGTGGGTTCGAGCCCCGCGTCGGGCTCTGTGCTGACTGCCAGCTCGGAGCCTGGAGCCTGTTTCAGTCTGTGACTCCCTCTCTCTCTGACCCTCCCCTGCTCATGCTGTCTCTCTCTCTCTGTCTCCTAGAAATAAATAAAACATTAAAAAAAAACAAAAACAAAAACAAAAAAAAAATATCCTTTTTAGGGGCGCCTGGGTGGCTTAG